AGGTCAGATGGACGTCTGGACTCTTGGAATTGCCAACCCCTCAGGTCTGAATGGCAAACTGGACCAGGTGTGTCACTTGGATGGTCACACATGGTTGCTGTCCGAAACCCAACTGTCACAAAAGGGGGTGTCCACCTTCACCAAGGGGCTGCGTATGCTGCAGAGTAAATGGAAGTATGCGGTGCCAGGCTCACCGTGTACACCCCGGTTGTCTACGGACACGGGAACGCACTCAGGGGTCATGTGCTTGTCAGTTTTTCCAGCCAGGGCTTTGACTCATGACTTTGCACCTGAAGTTTATGAAACAGCTCGCCTTCAGGTATATGGGCTTGCGGTTGCGGACACATGGGTTACCCTGGGTATCCTCTATGGACTTCCATGCAATGCCAGGCACAAGAATGCCCGTTTTCAGACTGATGCTCTTTTGTCGGAGTTGGTGGATCGGGTGGCGTGCCAAGCAGCCGGCCCACGGGCCATTGGGGGTGACTTCAATTTTGGGCCTGATGAACTTGGGCAACTTGATCGCCTCCGTGCGATGGGCTTCAGGGAGGTGCAAGATCTCAGGGCATGGCGGTTTGGACTTTCTGCGGAACCGACCGGACGGGGCACACGTAGGATTGACCAGCTATGGATTTCTCCTGAGCTTCAAAGGGCCTACTTGTCCACCGATGTTGACTTTTCCTGTTGGGCGGATCATGCGGCTGTCAGTGCTACCTTCTCGCACCAGGGTTTGACGGTTTCGGTCTCTGCTTGGCCTTGTCCTCAGTCGCTGCCCTGGCCAAAAGGATGGGATTGCCCACTTAGTTTGGACTTTGGAGGTGATCTCACTGTTGAATATGCCAAGTTTTGGATGCAACTTGAGGGCCATGCCAGAATTTGGAATCGACATCATGGGATCCAGGTTACCAAAACCCAGTGTGGCCGAGCCAGTGTGCTGGAACCCAAGCGCACAAAGCGCTACCTGTGTCCCATAAAAAAGGCCAAAACAGGAGATGCCCAGCCTTCCTTCATTGGGGTTAGTTTGCAGCATGCCAGGTACGGGAAACAACTCAGGCGTCTTCAGTCCTTGGTTCGGTTGCTGAGTAAGGGTACTCAAACGTGGAATGCTTGCCTCAATAGGGATGAAACTTGGAGTGCCATCCGCCATGCTTCGGGTTTTCCTGGGGGTTTTGGCCCATGGTGGATTTTGCAGGGTCTCCAACCTGGACTTTTCCAAGAGTTGCCACTGATCTGTCCGTCGGTGGATTTTGTTGCGGCACTGTTTCAGGGTTTTCAGGGTTTTGTCAAGCAGTATGAGGCCACTTTGGTCAGCCAAAGGTACCGACATGCTAAGCACCGGCGTGAGCAGAAGTTGGCTTATGTCTTCCAAGACTGCAAGGATGACCCTCTGCCTCAGGCGGACACCTTGATTGACCGGGTTCAGGTTGGGATAGAGGAAGTCCGGCCTGAGGACAACTCCCTTGTGTTGGTTCAGCCTGTTCGGTTGATTGATGACTTGCCTGTTGTGGTTGAGGGTCAGGTCGTCCAGGTGGTTGCGCACTCTGAGGATCAGGTTTGGCTGGATTCCTTGCCGGTTCACACCCCAGGGGGTTGCCTCTCACAGGAAAGGGCGGTTCTCACGGACGAAGCCATCCTTGACCGTTTTGCTGCGGTGTGGCGTCAGCGCTGGACTAAGCAATCCCACGTCCAGCCCGGGCAGTGGGACCAAATCTGTGGCTTCCTGGAACATACTGTGCGGCCTATCTCATGGACTTTTGCTCCTTGGACTTGTGAGCGCTTGCAACAGGCCATCCGTCATAAAAAAGCTCGGGCTGCCAGGGGTCCTGATGGGGTTTCTCAAACGGACTTGGCTTCACTTCCCCCAACTGCGGTGCAGCACTTGGTGGGGTTTTATCAAGCGGTTGAACAAGGAGCACGATGGCCATCTCAACTGGCCTCAGGTTTTGTCACCAGCCTTGCCAAACATGCTCATGCACAGCAGGTGGAGGAGTTTCGACCAGTGGTGGTGTACAGCCTGCCTTATCGGGTCTGGTCCTCTGAGCGGGCCCGTGAAGCCTTACGTTCTGTCGGTTCTTTGTTGCCTGATTCTGTCCAGGGTGGAGTTCCGTCACGTCAGGCCAAGACGATATGGTTTGAGTTGGCTTATGCCCTGGAAAGAGCTCACCTCACGGGAGCCCCTTTGCATGGACTTTTGATGGATATCCAGAAGTGCTTCAACAATATACCTCGGCAGCCCTTGTGGTTTGCGCTTGCCTTGATGGACTTTCCACATGACGTCTTGCGGGCCTGGGTCTCTTTTGTTGCGGGCCAGTCAAGAAGGTTCAAGGTTCGTCAGTCTGTTGGTGCTCCGCTCATGTCCAACTGTGGGCTTCCTGAGGGTTGCGCGCTTTCTGTCTTTGGCATGGCAGTGGTGGACTGGATGTTGGACTGGTGGCTCAGGGGCCTTGATGTCAGTGTTGACCTTCGTACCTTTGTGGATGACTGGGGGGTCTTGTTTCGGGACCAAGGTGCTTTTCATCGCATCTGGACTGCCATGGAAGACTTCACCAGCCATTTGGACTTGGCAATCGATATGGCAAAAACCCGGTTGTGGTCTACTGATGCTGATGCCCGAAAGGCTTTTCGCCAGAGCCCAGTGACAGTTACCCTTGGGGCCAGAAACTTGGGTGCTCACCAGAACTTCAGCAAGCATTGTCACAATGCGGAACTTCAAAAGAGACTGAAGCCGATGCCTCAGGTGTGGATCCGGCTACGGGCCAGTCACAGCCCATACCGTTCCAAGGTCACGGCTTTGCATATGATGGCATGGCCCAGGGCATTGCATGGGATCTCAGTGGTCCATTTGGGCTCTCAACACTTCAAGGTGTTGCGGTCGGGTGCCGCCAAGGCACTACGTGCTGATCGCAAAGGGGCCAACCCTTACTTGCATCTTGCCACTTCGTCTTTGCTGTCTGACCCTGAGGCCTGGTCGGTTGTTCAAACCTTGCGTGAGGTGCGGGAATTGGGGTGTCCTGAACAGGTTGAGTCTGCATTGGGTCTGTACTCCAACAGCCCTGAGTGCTTGCCGAATAATGGTCCTACGGCAATCTTGTTGACACGTCTCCAGAGGTTGGGATGGGCCGTTGGGGGTCAAGGGTTGATCCAGGATCGCCTGGGGACCTTTAGCCTTATGTCCATTGCCTGGGATGAATTGGTGTTGCGGGTAAAATTGGCCTGGGGCCATGTCCTTGCGGGTGAGCTTTCTCACCGGCCCACCTTTTCGGGCCTGGAGCGGGTGGACTTGACTGAGCTCCATGTTGCCTTGTCCCAGTTTGGTGCGGCTGACCAGGTCTTCTTGCGGTGTCATTTGGATGGGACTCTCTTTACCCAACATGGCCGGGCCAAATTTCGGGCGGATGTCACCTCCTCTTGCCCCTGGTGCACAGCTAAGGATGGATTTCATCACAGGGCTTGGATTTGTCCCTTCTTTGCCCCCTGTCGTTCACATCTCACGGCTGACCAGCTCCGTGTCCTTCCCTTGCTTCCCGCGTGCTTGGTTGACCATGGTTGGCCGGTGGTCTTGCCTGAATGGGAGCTTCTGACTCATTGGCTGTTGCAGGACGATGGACTTTGTAAGATGTCACCAGTAGAACCCTCGGTTCGCAGTATGCCACATGTGCTGGATTTGTTTGTGGATGGTACCAGTGCTTTTCCTCAGGAAGCCAAGTTGCGCTTTGCGGCATGGGCCGTTACAGCAGTGCCAGGCGGAACAGGCACCTATGACAACCAAGTCTTGATGGCAGGACATGTGCGAGGACTATGCCAGTCGCCTTACAGAGCAGAGTTGTCTGCGGTGCTCCACGCCGTAGTATGGGCTGTTCAACATGGTCGAGCAGTACGAATCTGGTGTGACTGTCAGGGGGTAGTGAAGGGTGTGAGTCGGATGCTGCACAAGCGGCCAATTCGCAAGAATGCCCCGCACTCTGATCTGTGGATGCAGTTACGACAGACAATGCAGGGCCATGAGCAGCTGGTTACAATTCACAAGGTGGTGTCTCATGGGGTGCTGGCCAAGGCCACCAGCCCCTTGGAACATTGGGTCTATTGGCACAATCATTTAGCCGATGTTGCAGCCGAGAGTGCCAATCTCCGGCGACCGCCTGAGTTTTGGGTGGTGTGGAAAGGGATGCAGCAAGCACTACACTTTTACCGGAAGTTGCATGCTGACATCCTATTGGTGCTTTTACAGACTTCGCGAATGGCAGTGCAGGGACAATCCAACAGTGTGGTGCAGCCGTCAGTGGCTCCCAGTCCCGACTTGGTGCTCAAGGTTCCTGAGACGTGGACCATCCCGGACCGCCTCTTCAAGAGGTATGGACAGCACAATTTACAGCAGGTGCACCAATGGTGGCTTCAGTGGGGACCGGCCATGATGCAACAGGGCCAGCCGCTGAAATACATCGCAGGTATCCAGCTTTTTGTGTCGTTCAACCTCTTTACAGGGTACGATGGGCCGTGGTGTCATCAGAAGAGGTGGTACTCAGAGGAGGGTGCCGCGCCCGAAGTTGCAAGGAAGAGCTGGGGAAGCAGATGCAAACTTTTCCTTCTGCTCTTCAAAAGCTACATGAAAGGCAACAAGGTCGTCCTTCCCAATCGTATGACACGACCTCACTCATCTGCAGTGGCCATGTGGTTGGTGAGTTACCGTCTGGCCTGGACGGATGCGATGGTGGAGAAGGTGGACAGAGCCATTTTCACCCAGCTGAAGAAGCAGGCCTGTTCGAATACCGACCTGGCCGCTCTTCAGGCCGCAAGGATCGGCTGAGCATGTGCGAGGAAGAATCGTGGGGTCGCTTGCTGCCCCGCGGTTTCCACATAAACAGCAATAAACAGTAATATTTTTCAAGATGGTTAAAACCACCAATTAGCTAATATATCCTAATATCATCTAATATCATATATTTTTTCCCTAGAATATCCCAGCAATTCGAACTCACACATTTTTCAGGGATCGCTGGCAGGCCTGCGCACGGATGCAACTCCGATGTTTGCCAGCAACCAAGGGCAGGAAGTCGGTCATGAACTGGGGGCTATACATGGTTAATACATGGTTATACTACTTGATTTATGTTGTAATTTCCATTCTATGAGTAGTATAACCTACTATTTACATGGGATTTTCCATCTTATGATCTAATTTTGGGAGGTAAATCCCATGTAAACCATTGAAATCCACTTCGCTTGATGATCCCATTGACTCAGAACGTCGGTATTCTTCAGATGGGCTTTGACACCACCGGTGTCAAGGTTGCTGTGGCGAGCAAGGGTACAAGTCCATGCTCAAGAGGAAGGGGCTACCAGCTGTTGAGGTGGTTGATGGTGGTTGACATCTGAAACCTATGATTTTTTTGACCATGCGCGAGCCTTGGATGCCGAGATTTCGGAATTTGGGCAAAGAATAAGGATCATTTTGTTTTTTGTCCATCTCAGACCTCAAGTCTCATTTCATCCAAGAAATCGTGAAGTAGCTGGGACCAGTTCTGATTTGAAGCACCCATTCTTCAAGTCTTCGCAGGACCAACGCGCATTTCTCCTGGCACATTTGGAGAGCAGCGAACGCTGTGTTTCCGTCTTGGAGGCTGACCAGCTCGGATGAGAAACTCATCCAAAAAGAGTTTCCGCTCCCCGATCAATTCGAAAGCAGCTTGCCAAATCTTCAGTCCCAACACACACACATAATATATATATATATATAAGGTATATATGTATATATAAATATGTATATATAAATATATATAATGTATATATATATATACATACTACATATATACATACATATATACAACGTTTTATGCACATATTGATATTGGAATAGGTAACTCTTCGGTGGGGCGAAAAACTTCGCTTTTGATGCAGGCCTGGACTCGGGGCTTGGAGGCACGATGTTTGAAGAGAGTTTGGATAGATTCATCCATCGAAACACGGGGATTTAATTATCAAAATCCGTAAACAGATGGGATTTAATCATGAAAGTTTGAGAGATTCTGATTCAATCATCAAAAAATGGTGATTTAATTGAACCGTCTAAACATGGGGATACAATGTGAATAGACTGGGATAGAACCAACAATATGCTAGCCGGGCGTGTCTGAAAATGGAATATATCCCAATTTATTGACATTTTCGTAGGGAGAAAGATTGACTAACATCGGATTTAGATGGGTTTTGAGGTGGCCTATTTTCAGAAAATCCCCCCAAAAAATGAGCATTTTTTCAGCTTGGGCGCATAGCCAATCTAATTTGGGGATGATCAGCATGCCAGATGATGTCAATTTTTCCCTCTTAAGTGGGTTCTAATGCCTGAAAATAATGATTTGGACTTGGGGATTCCCGATTTTTAGACACAGTTTGATCCTTCAAAAGTGTTGGACATTTGTTTGTTCAACAATTGAAGTCTTGTTTAACTATTGAAACTGATGAAAACGGCTGAGTGTGACTTTTGCACTTGATTGAAATGGAGAATTATAACTTGACACTTATCGAAATCGGTTATTTTAAATATATAAAACGATGTATAAACTTAGATAAACATTCCAACACTGTGGTTAAACATTTAAAGCCATACCAAACGGAGGAATTTGACATGTTCGAAGTTCTCACCAACAATAAACCTATCTTCGAATGGTGTGGGGGTCGACACTTGAGACCCATGGAGCTGAAGACACCATGATACTGTGGTGATGGGTCAACACCTTTTAAAAAACATATTATGACCTAGTATGACTTGGGGAATAAACATCCACAAATCATATATTTAAGTGCCTACGGCAAGCCCGCCGGCCATAGCCTGTGCTTTTCTGTTAAGGTTCTTTGGTCTGTGTGTAAAAGGTTCTGTGTGCAAAAGGTTCTGTGTGTAGAAGCGTCTGT